ATTCCTCCACTGACTTTACATGGTCTGAACTTTTCAGAGTTATCCACAAAACCTGAACAGAATAAAGAATTTTTCTTATGTGAGGCAAAAATGAAGACAACAAAAGTCCTTTACAGAGAAGCTCTGCTCTTTAACTGGCATTCAGCACACTGCTGTAGTACTGCTACCCCAGTCCCAATACCCATTGCTGGGCAAGGGAATATATTTGACTCTGATACTGCCTCTGGAAGTATGGGGTTTGTGCTGGGCTTGAGTTTAGTGCCAGCTTTGGGGTATGTTTGTTTTACTACAATCAGCAGAATCTGGCCAAAAATTTGCCTTAAACCAGTTCAACCAGTTTCATATTATTTGAAACTGCATATTTCATGAGAAAATACCTTCTACAGATTGGATAGGTGGGCATTTAGATCCATATTTTTATTCAATTATTATGACTTACTGCAGTGACATTAAAAAAACTCAGACAAGCAGAGCATGAAGTGAAGGCAAACGATGGACTTCAGTTTTAACTGTGCATTTTCAGTGCTAGTTTCTCATGTAAGGAGTAAAAATGCCTCAGACAACTCACACGGGATGTACTGTGAAATTGTAGCGTGCAGTTTTCTGAAACAGGCACAAAAGCTCAACATACTGGAGCTAATTTCTGTGTCAACTTTCATTCATTAGTGCCATTTTGCATAGCTGAAGCACCAACTCTATGCATATATTTGGCAGTGCCATACATACCCAGTTTCCTCGAGGCTTCAGTAATATGAAGTTCCTGCAGACACTGCAGCTTCTCATTAAGTTTACCAGATTTAAGTTATTCTGTGAGTCTGCTTTTCGCTAATTAAAAGGCTCAAACATTTTCAGCTGGATCTTTTTCTTCAATCTAGTGAGTCTCTCAATAGTGTGCAAATTTACATACCACAAATACATCCAGGAGTTCAACTATCAGTCTGGATTTCCGGTTTTTTTACCAACCCACAGGAAGAAAACCCCTGTTTTCCCTGCCTTCTGGAAATATTGCTTCCTTTTACTAATCATTGAATTAAGAATTTAATAATATAAACATCAGGATTCACCACTGTCACATGCTTGCACTTACTAAGAAGAATTTTTTCTCCACCTTGTTAATGGAATGTGGAGGCCACTTCTGAGGAAAGAGATTCAACTGAGACTATTTTGCAACCTTTGTGAAAAACAAAATTCCACATTCTTCAAGGTTTTGCTAAAATGGACTCGTAACAGTTTTTCACTATCAACAGGTCTCCATATGATCGTTTTAAGATCAAAATTCAAAACAAAACAGAAAGCAAATTGTTAATATGAACTATGCTAGTTTCTTTCAAAATGTCACACAGCTAACTCAGCAGCATCCAATATACTACAGTGTCTTCTTGTTCTAAGTATGACAGAAATGCAAGGGCTTGCCCACTTTATAGCACATCATCTTGCAGCTAAATCCCTAAACATGAAGAATAAAAACCTTTTCTACCTTTAAAAATTATTAGTGCTGATAAATAGCTGAATTGTGTTCAATTTATTTCACTTTTTAATTACTCTTACGAAACATGCCATTTAAAGCCAGAAAAGCACTACAGCCATACATATGTAGGTAATTGATGCTGACAATAAGACTCTTTCAGAGCTTAAAATCTCAACCAGTTCTTTCTGGTGAAACCTCTAATTTTGGTTTGAATACACCAGGCCTATGCTCTCACCTATGAATTACAGTCCTAAGGGCTTTCTTTCCTGTTATTTTTAAATGGCCTTCCTTTCTCTTCATATTGAGCCCATTTCCGTTCTCTTTAGTTGTAATTGGAAAGTTATCATGAGACAGCCATAATCCCTGAGCTATTCTCCATTTGTCTAGACTACAGTTTTCTCCCTTGGCCAGTAAGTAAACAAGTTTGTCCCAGTACCATATTTCATGCTTTCAGATACTAGGTCACGATTTGGTACGCAGCATGGCACTCACCTTACTCCCACTGTGAGAAACTGAGCAGGCAAGGGGCCAAGAGCTGGCAGAGTGCTGACTTGGCTCTTTTCCCCTCACTTACCCACCTAGTCTGCTGTTGCCCTAACTTGCTTACCATAAATGCTAGCCACATGTAAGAGGATAAACAAAATTCCAGATCCACAACAAAACTCACACCGGAGCAGTTTGATGACTCTTTGTACTTGGCCTCCAGGCAACTGCTTGAGATCATAGACTTGGGCCCCAATCAGACTCTCATCATTTAAGAGGCCGACAAAAGAGCTTCTACATTTGTTCACATAAGTCACGGTATAATGAGTGGGGCAGATCAACCATCAAAAGATGGAGCTAGAGAAAGTCATGCTCTTCTTCTCCTATTTGCAGTTCATAGACCATGAACAAATATTCCAAGAACATAGAAAAGTATTTTACAGCCAACACTAGAGGTATGGGGCAAAATCAACTTCCTAATTCATGTTATTTGAAGAGAACAGGGACTGGTGGTGTAGATTCCCCTCGCTGAGGCATGAGAGGACAGGAAGATATAAAATACTTGGGTCACAAGATGTGCCTTTTTTTCTTTTTTTTTTTACTTATTCGAAATAACGTTAGCTGAATAATATGAACACATTGATTCACTGAATCACATTTTGAAAACCCTCTTGATTTCAACAGGATCACTTATGGACTATGGCACAATTCAGCTTAAGTGAAGTCCCATTTATTTCATTTAACAGCACTAGGCGCTGTGTGGTAGCCATCACAAACTTGTTACTACTGCAAAATTCCTGGTACAGGAGTCAGAAGTCTGAAGTGTGCCATTCTACTGTGGATGTTGGTAGTCTGTGCTGCATCTTTCACTCAGATCTTGTGTGTAGTCTCTTAGAACGATCTGGCTTAAAATCAAAAACAATAAAACAATAGTCTTGGTACCACTGAAATTCTGCCAAAATATACCTGAGATGCAAAACACTGGCTTTGATGTGTTTCTGAAAAGGGCAGAAATATAGCTAGATTAAATTGCTGGATTTTTCACCTCTGTTACAGATTCTAAAGACACTGCTAATAAATTTGAGTTATTTCAGACAGACAAATATTAATGTTTTGATCACAACTTCATCCCTTTTAAATGCAGTTTTACCATCTTTAGTCAAGCAGAAACCCAAAAATACTCTGAAATGCAACACAGCTCATTTTTCACTGTGTCAACAACCTTTGTGTCAACAAATAGCCTCAGGAAAGCAAAGACCGTCTTACCATCTAGCTAAGTAGTCTGCAAGATGATAACGTAGCAAGTTCCAAAGGCTCTAAAAAATCAGCAAGCACCTTGTTATCATAATGATTCTTTGTATTATGAAAAATAGCACGCTGTTACACTTGACAAGCTGTTACAACTCTGCCAAGTAGAAGCAGATGTGGCAGGGAAGCTTTCCAATGAAAGAAAAATTCTTGGTATAGAGTTGGAATACATTAAGTGCAATTTGCTTTAACTACACATTTGCCACTGGAAAGTGTTCAAATAGCACGGAGAGAAGTCCCACAAACGTTGGGTTCTCAAGGAGCAACTCAGTATTAAGAAATGATGTTAATCAGTTCACTGAGAGCAAATTTTCTTTAGCTTTAATTATTCCCATCACATGAAACCTTGAAACATCTCAAGACTGCGCATTCGTTCACCTACTAGAAGAACAACTTGAAAATCATGAACAATATCACCATGTGGTGACACCTGTCATAAGAAAATGATGGTATTACTACGAAAATATAGCACCCCATGCTCCCTTATCTTTACTTAGCTTTAAACTTCTCTAACCTATATCTCAGTTAAAAGAAAACATTTAAGGAAAATAAGTCAAGTGTTACAAACTCTTATCTCACTACTTGTTCTTCGATGTAGCAAAGATTTGCAAAGACATTTTCAAAAGTCTCTAGAGGTACTGTCTCTTCTGTGCTTGTCCAGCACAATGAACAGGAGAACATGTTTTAATATCCCACTCCCAGCAATGTAGATGGTGACAAAACTGTTCAATCTGTGACAGACAGGACAAATCCCTGTTCACTGATCTTAATACGGTTAAAATTGGCTGTGCTTCCTGTGAAGCAGTACCACAAGCTGAGTACATGAGCTGAAAATAAGCTAGCTTGAAGCATTTTTTCTAAGACGTATATTGTTAAATCAACTAATAAAATTCATTGCCAATTACTCATGGAGCTATATATAACATATTAAAAAAGGTATTAAAGTAACATAATCTAACCACCTGTTACCACACACAGAAATATCTACATTTAGGAATATCCACATTAAGTACAGACTTTGGATGGGAAAAAAAGGGCCTGTTAATGTGTTTTGTTTACCCCTCAAACTGTTCTTTCTTTGTTCTTTAAAAACAAAAAAAACCAACAAAATATTTTTTTCCTCAAGCGAGTATGTGCCAGTATTCTCAATTTGGTTTTAGTCTTTCCTTTTGCATCCTCCACAATCCTACAAAATAATATTGGTCAGGAGAATTCACATCAGTCACCTGACAAAGATCTTTGACAAGCCATTGAGGATTCTGTTAAGTACGCAGAATCAGAACTTGAACTCTACACAACATGTACATCAGAAACAATGTGTCCATATGAATAGTCTTATAACTGGAACCTTTAAAGAGACAGGCAACCATAACTGCAAATCAAAATTTAGAAAGTTTCTCAAGACAAAAGGCTTATGAGAATTTACGTGTAAAGAGCCTGAACAGGGAATACAAAGGTAAAACTACAGAAAGCCTAGGTATCTGACTAGACTTAGAGAATTTCACTTTCTTGCTAGAGTAGGTTGAGTGGTTTTTTATTAGATGCAATTACAATTTTATCGACACCTCTCTTTGTAGTCACCAGAAATAGTCCACAATATGGGAAAGTCATAGCAAAAATCATATTCCAGGAGGTACCATGGACTTCCCTCAATTAAATTCAATGTTCTTAAACTCCCAAAGAATACTTAAACTCTTTCTCTTCCAAGAACAAATAAAGCACAGATCTTATGAGTACTCACCACCGTCTTCAACCATGAAATGAAAAATGTCACTGGTAGCATTGTCACCCTCTCGTAAAACATAGCATATCTTCATATCATCAATATCAGCTGGAAAGAGTTAGGAAAAATAGATTTTATTTTAAATGCTGAAGGTAGGAAACTGTTTTTATAGAAAAACTTGACATGTATTAAATAGTTTAGCTTCAACAGAGAGAGGTCAAGGTTGTCCAGCAGAGCTCAGGAATTTCAGTATTAACAGCATTGAAGTTTTACAGATATCATTCATTCTCCCTCCCCTTACTTCCTCCTCCCCAGTGCCCTCTTTCTTTTAAGATGTATTTACAAAAAGAACTGAAAGGAAATGTAAAAACATGGGCTCAACAGTCAGAACTATTTCATATTTTTAGTGGTGCTTTTTCTTAAACAGAGATGTATCTCCACTAAGATATTGATTCTGTCATTCTTCATCTTGAGAAGTACTGTAGAGGTGACAGAAAATCTGTGGCTGAAACGAGAGCAAAATCCAGGGTATTTTCTATGTTTCCATTCAAGAGGCAAGACAAACTAGTCCACACGGCCCCCCCCCCCACTCTAAAACTAGATTACTTCTGGCGTGTGGTCTACCTCTAGGATAAGATATCTCTACACATTCTGCAGTAGAGAGATCTCAATCTCTTTAGTCCCCCACAAAAACACCCTCTCAACCAGACTATCCTTCCTATCAGCATGTTTTCAAAGGATATGGCATATAATCTGTATGCACTGTCGTAAATAGTGCTCTAACACTTAGAGTGATTGACTGTTTTAAGAACCCAAACAGATGCAATTAAAGTAGACAGACAAGACTTCAGTAAGAAAAAATTCAATGCACAATTTTGAATCATCAATTGCAATAAAGTAAGTATGTAAAAGGTAAAAAAATATTTATTAATACTGTGTTTTCTGGTTTCCTTGAGCAGTGATGAGAAACATGTAATACACAAAAACTATTTTTGTCACTTTCTTCGAAAGACTGGTTAGTAAAAATCCATGTCTGATACTTTTTTTAAGAAAAAGTATTAGAAATTAATAGCATTAAGGTGGAGCTCAAGTTCTCCTCCCATGTTAGGGCATATGCATTAGTAAAAAGAAGCCAAAAGCACTTTTGTTAGAGCTCCTCAAAATCCTCAGTTCCAGAAGTAGCCAGACATCTTCTAGGGCAAACAAATTAAGAACATTATCAGCAAATATATGTCACTGAAGAATCTCTTCCATAAATGTTTGAAAATTAAAGATCAAAAATTCATAGGGCTATACAGAGGATAGATATTATCCTCTCCATGCCAGTGGAGCAAATAAATCTTTCATCCTGCAAACACTTACACAAGTACTCAGCTCTGCCCATGTGAGTAGCCTTATCAAAATCCATGGTTCCAACATATATAAAGATAAGAACTTGAGCCAGTGTTTGCAGGACCAGGACCCCCTCATCAAAAAAAGCCACTTGTCATCCAAACATCTTAATTTTGTCAAAAGAATTGCAAAGGAATGACCTGTTTTCTGTTCATTAAGAATATGTTCAGTCACTTGAGCAATTCTATGCTTTCCTTCCACAGCTGATTAGGTTATGCTAATTATATTAAAACTTGCCTAGTTGTAAGCAAGTGCCTGCTAAATATTAATGTGATATTGGAATTCTCCAACATAATTTTCTAATTAAAAAAAAAAAATTATCTTCACTAGATCAGGGCACTGATTTCCCATTTAAAATTCTGCAAAACTGATGTGGTTATTAAAGGTTACATATATTAATATATATTCTTTAAGAAGCAAAAGCACTTCACAACATAATTCACTCGTCTTTCTGAAAACAACCTGAAAAAGAAGATAAAAAGCATTATCGGGGTAATGCTGAATAAAATCATTGCTCGCAAAGTGCTGCGTATTTGGTTGGAATACCTTTGGCCTCAGGAGGCTACATGGAGTGCTGAGACGTCAGCCGAGCTATATTATTGCCAAGGCAGATCCTTACTCTCCACTATTCCTTCCCCTTCTTCCTGGCTCCTCAGCACACCTGCAGAGCTGTGGGATGTGATCTGGCCCTTACTCACAAATTTACCCATGTGGGACTGGGGACTCCCAAAACAGTGCTCAGCAGTCCTTCACACTTTGTACATTCAAAACATTATCCAAACACCAGCTACCTACTTGTTACATACCACTAAACTTCTTTAAATGTGAAATACTTGGCAGTTCCTTAATAGACTTTCCCCACTTTTAAAACAAATTATCTAATCTTAATGAATATCTGCTATGATCAAATTCCAATCCTGTCTTGCAGAGACGAGTGCAGTATGATTATGCATACACAATATTCTTTGTATGTATTTTTGTCCTAGGACAGCACTAGACGAGAAATTACCATGTGGCAAGTGTTTTTCTTTAAGCTTTCTCTGCATTTACTATGACCAAATTGTAAATATAAGGCATAAAGAAATAATAATGAATTAAAAGTGCTGCTTTCAGGTGTAACATGAAGTAACAGATAGTACTTGAATAAACTTAGGAACTGCTTAGTGTATTTTAAGAGTATTTTATTTTGTTACTGTCACTTGCCTGTCTCTCTCTCTCTCATTCAGATTATTTTAATTAATTTAATTATTTAATTAAATAGAAAAGAATAAAAAGCACCAACTATTTGCAGAATTTTGGGACCTTTTATCAAGAAGTTAATTCTTCCACACTCTAATACCCCCCTTTGAGCAATCCCAATTAGCTCTATGAGCCTCACGAGCAAAAGATTACCTACTGTACTTGTGGCAGCAGTATTTGATGTAGACTAATTAGAAAGCCCCACACTGATTGTTCCTGAACAAAATACACAGCAAATCTCCTGAATGTACTATATTCTGCACAACTGCATTTTGACTGGAAGCTTTTAGCTCATCTTGCAAGCTAGGCTGATTTCCTTTCTAGCACTTGATAGTTTTGTGGGCAGATATTGAAAAGCAATCTCAAGCGTAAGGCAAAAAGCTGTTTGCTAAACAATCACTCTGCTCTCTCTTTCAGTTACAGGCAATCTGAAAAACCAGACTGCTCAAGTTGCTTGCACACAATTAATCTTGTTTCATCAATGTTACTTCACTCAAAGCGGTCAGGCTGCCTGTTCATACAACCACAAGCCCAAATCCAAGGAATGGGAGTGTGAGGTGGTAGAGTATTGGGATGGACTTCACAAACTATTGAGCAGCTTTCAAAACTCATCTGCATGTGACCCTGAACAGCCTCATCTGACTTCAAAGTTGGCCCAGTTTTGAGTAGGGGTTGGACCAGATGACCTCCAGAGGTCCCTTCCAACATAAATTAGAAGACTTTAACGATGTTTTACAAGCCCCATCAGGACCCACTCATGTTAATGAAACTGGAACTATTCAGCATTTTCTAAGAGGTTGCCCCACATGGCAGGATAGGACCCCTAAAAAGGGGGGAGATCAAAACATAAAAAGAAAGTGTATAACAGCTGGTCCAATAGTCAATACAGGAGCATCCCAAAGTCAAAACTATTACTCATGGCTGGCTGCAAAATCTGCACTTAATTAGGATCATTAAGAATATGACAAAAGAGGGTCTTGTTTACTCCTGCCCTGAACATAAATTATTTGTCTCAGTACAGCATAAGCATGAAATATGCATAAATTCATTACTCTGGATTTGACAGTGCTTTGCATATTAATGGTAGTGGGCCACAAGGTGAGGGACAACAGTGAACTACACACAGAGTTTTGAGTATGCAGTTAGGTCTACATAAGACCTCTGTGTCTCACATTACTTCTCAAAACTGTAGCCTTCTAGGTTCAGCCAAGTATTTTTGTCCCTGACACTCACAACCTCTCCCATACCCAAAGTAGCTACAGAGAAGAGGGCACCTGAGGAAAATGGAAAGGAAAAGATAGTGCCCTTTCATGCATGACTTTCACTCCCAGGTTATTCTGTGACTTCCAGCAAGTTCTCTTTCCATATTATCCCTGTGCGAGCTTGATGCTTTCTGCCTTTCATGCAGCCTTTCCAGACACCTCTTCTCCCTCAAGTGCTTGGTCCTGTATTCATAAGACTTTTTTATGTGTTTGCTTCATAAAATACAAACCATTATAAAAAGCATTTAGGAAGCTCAGAAGAGATATACCACAGAAGTAACACAGATGCTCAGGAGGTATTTGCTCATAGAGGCCAAAGGACAAAATTATTGAAGAAATGTGTATTTCTTAAAAACACTCTTCAACTCAACACAAATTAGAGTGCTTGTGCTAGTACTGTCAGGGAACCTGTGAAGTTATATCACTTTCTGGGGAACCTCACTAGCTTTAAAACCAATTTTTCCTAAGGGTTGCATGCTTCTCACCCACCTCAGGCAGCCCCAGGATATCAAAAAAGCCTGCGTGAAGACCAGTGAGCATGCCACATGGTTGGACTGCCAACTGAAAGCCAAGTGACAACTGCATTTTGATCATCTGACAAATGTATGCCTGGCCATATGGCACAAAAGAGAATGGAATACATACCTATCCTGACTGCCCCCCCCCCTCGAAAAAATGGCACATGATTGTGCTATGCAGTGGTCTGCTTTCAAGGAACACCCACTCAATAATTCTACATTCTCCAATGTAAGAAAAAACCCACTAAAAAAGTGATTATCTGTTTATTTGCTCACTCCCATTCTCTTGTTTCTTGCTTATTCTGACAACAGTACTCTTAATACTACTCGCGGTTCACTACTGAAACCTTACATTTAAGGAGCTGTGGTGGTTCCCAAACATGATTTGGCCCCTCCTCATCCTCTTCTTTGCACTAACACTGCAAAACTTAGGGCACCCCAGCCATTCAGAAGTTCATCAGGCCTGTTTGCAAGATTTGGTATATCTGTCGTTGTTTAACCCCAGCTAGCAATTAAGCACCACTACAGCCAAGACTGTAACATCGAATACATATCAGTATGGGCTCTGTGAAATGAAATACAGCCAACTACAAGCATTCATCTCTAGCCTTACCGCCTACACAGCCCAGCCTGTCTGGACCCCTTTAATTTTGAGTCTCCGTGCAGTTGTGCTGGCTGCTCACTCCACAGCTGCAGGAGGTTCCAAGAAACGTAATTTCATTTTTAATTAACCAGCTATTAACTCATTGCAAAGTAACATGGAAAATTCTCTGGAGAATAGCTAATGCTCCCCTTTCAATTAAAGTTACTTCATAGCCTTGTGTTGAGGCTTTATTTCAGAACATACGGCACATGTGGTTTTCGTCCTATTTATACCACCTAGTATTTTAGTTCCATGTAAAAACTAGGTACAACTGACATAATTTTAAAACATTTACATTACCTTTTAATTTACCACAAACACTTTGCGGTTAAGATTTGTGTAATTAAGGCAACAATGCACTCATAATATATTATTTCCCCATGTTTGGGAAGTTATTTTGCTTTTACAGTTAAATGTGCTCAGACAGTATAGCAACTGATACCCTAGCCATGGTATGACCATCGGTTAATAATAGCTTGGCCACTCCCGTGGCATTTTCTAATTAAAACTGTTTAAAGAAGGCACTCAGCCTCTAAAGATCCAGAGCCACGTGCAGCCCAATTCTGTTAGCCAAATTTCTATCACTGATAGAAAGTCCAAATCACAGTTTTCTGGACTGTAAGCTCTCCAAAGCGAAGATGCTCCTTTTTAAAGTGTTTATCCAGTAGACCCCCTTTCCTGTTTAAAGCTGTAACACATGCAATAAATAATAAACAGAAGTAAAAAATAATAAAGCCATTATAAATAAGCTCACTGTTGGAAAGTTTCTCCCATCAATCATTATAGAGTTTAGCATGAAAAAGAATGTTTCCAGCGACCTAAAGAAAACACGGGGTATTGTAATACCTTGGGTGAACTGGCTGATGCTATGGTTGCCTTTCCCCAGGTGGATCAGGAAGCCATGGCGCGGACCCTCCGTGATTCTGATCTTGAGAGTAACATGTAAACTGTCTCTGTCTTCCACTTTGAGCACCTTGTTGGTAATCAGAAACCCAATGTGACCTGTGGCCAGAATACGGAGAGTCTGAGCACCCTTGTTTATTACAATTTGAGGTACACTGTTGTCCACAGCCATTATTCGAATCTTCATAGTCTGAGGTTTCCTCGTTTCAAACACAGTGTTGGGGAAGACATAGAAATCAGTATGAGTGCCATCTGTAACAGTGAAAGAGAAGCTATCCTCCACTGATTCTGTGCCATCATGTTTGTAGCTGATTAGATTTTCATTTAGATCTTGTTTAGTGAAGGTGGTGACTGGTTTGGAGTTATTGAACATGATCTGACCATGAACTGGTATTTGAGTGATGATAAATTTTAGCAATGCGTCAGGTGTATCTCTGTCTTCTGCGGTCAGTTCAAATGGGGTTATCAGCTTATATTCGTTTTCACTCACCACCAGGTTATGGACTGTGATGACAGGTTTTTTATTGTCCACATCACTGATAGAAATTCTGAAAGTACGAAATACAGGGTTATAGCCATCAGTCACCTCAAACTCAAAGCTGTCCATTTTCACCTCATCTTCTGAAGTGTGAATATAATAGACTTTATTGCCTGCTAATAGGAGTTGAGTAAAAGTGGAGATGGGTACCCCAGGCTGATCTGTGCATTCAAGATGACCACGAACAGGTGCTCTGGTAATAGTGAAAACTAAGTTCTCATCTGGACTATTCAGGTCACTGGTGCTAAGCAAATCGGTAGTAAGGGTTACCTTCCCTCCTTCTTTCAAAGAAACTCCTTTGCTGATTACATCTGGGAAGACAATATCAATGCTACCTATTGTCACATAAAAGTAGCGGTCAATGAGAGCATTTATTCCATCTGTCACATCAAACTTGATAAGATCACGAACTCCTTCTTGGCCAAAATGCATATATCGAATTAAGTTTCTATCCACTTCATCTTGGGTGAAGTTCATCCCCAGGGTGATATTCTCAACTCCACCTGAAGGCTTTATTCTCTGCAAGAGGCCTTGTCCTGGCCCGTATCTTATAATGTATGTCAAGGTTTTGTCTTCAGAATCCAGGTCAGTAGCCTTCAATATTCTGTTATCAATAGTTCTAGTTTCCCCTATTTCAATCTCCAAACCATCATTGATAGCCATTCTGGGTGTCTCATCATCTACAGGAATAACCATGATGAGTACCGTTTTCCTAACAGTATGTTTACCATCTGTGAGTTTCACCTCAAAACGGTCCTCTTTTGTCTCAGAGTCATCATGTTCGTAGAGTATGTTGGAGCTCTCTGTTATCTGATCCAAGGTAAAGCTCTCCACTAGGACAGTTCCATTGACCAGCTGGTTCACAATGTGGCCATGCCTGGGAAGCCTGGTAATTGTGAACATTAACTCGTCAGCAGGGATGTCTCCATCAACTGCGTTGAGGACAGGGGTATCAATAACCAGGCTCATGCCTTCCATCACAACAAACTCTCGCATAAAGATTTCAGGCTCTTCATCGTTGATCGGCATAATGACAATGGGGAAAAAGTGCCTTTGGGAAAAGTTAATGCCATCAGAACAGCGGAAAGCAAATCTGTCTTCAACAGGCTCTACGCCCTTATGTATACTTTGGACATAAAAAATATGCCCTTGTCGGACGTCTTTCAAGGTAAAAGCGCTTATAGCTACACCTGCTCTGGATTTTTCAGATCCTGGGGCTGGAGAGATGTTCTCTACATACCCAGATGTCGGCTGAGCAACAATGGTGCAGAGTATATCATCATTAGGAGTATCCACATCTTCAGCCCTGAGGTGAGCAGGAGTAATGACCCGTTTGTCACCTTCCGTTACCATGAACTGCTCCCCCAAAAAAATCTCTGGGGCTTGACTGTCAACAGGAAGAATGGTCACCAGGACTGAAACGCCTTGAACAACATTGCCCCTGACGCTCCACTCCTCAGACAGGTCAGACAAGGTAAGGTTGAAGGTATCTTCTTTGGGAAGAAGGCCTATTTCACCACCAGTGTGAGCATATACCACAGCACCATCCAGCAGATCTCTCTGGGAAAATCTCTCTGCAGGCACCCCTTGGACCAGGATGTTCCCATGCTGAGGAGGATCCTCTACAATGAAGGTCAACATTAAGTCATCTGTATCCTCATCCGTGCCCTGAATGACATTAGCAGTGATTTCAGCAGCACCATTCTCCAGCACATCCAGGAAGGAACCAAGGGTGCCTGGGGGCAACCGTAGTGTAGGAACCTCATCATCAACTGGGTGCACATTCATTTTCAGTGTGATGGGCACAAAATGAACCCCATCACTCACGTCAAGCCTGCAGGTATCACTGTTGGTCTCAGCTCCACTGTGCACATACACCACCCTCCCTTGTCTGATATCCTCCAGGCCAAAGACACCTCCCGGAATCAAACTGTACCCAGAAAGCTGCAACTGGCCATACCGAGGAGCCTGGGTCAGGATAAATCTGAGATGGGCAAGTTCAGTGTCCGTGTCACTGGCATCCAGCTCAGTTGGACTAAGGACATGGCTGCCTCCCTCAGGCAAAGTGAAGCCAGTATTAGTGATTTCAGGAGGCTGGTTATCCACAGGCTGCAGGTAGATGGTGAAAGTCCCTTCGGCTGCATTGCCAGCTGCATCTTTCACTTGATACTGAAACTGAATCAAATGAGGAGCCACCCCCAGTTCTTCCTGTGGGGGACGGTACGATATCTTGTGATGATTGATCTGGGCTTGGGTGAAGTGGGTAACTTCCACAGAGTGATCTTCAGTCAGCACAAGGGATCCAAGGCGGGCTCCATATACATCTGGAGGGTGGTTAGTGTCAGTGTCAGTGGGGGGCTGGGTTACTGTGTAGTGGAGTTCACGGTCCCCTGAATCCTGATCTGTGTAACACAAGTGCTTCCTCCGCAGTGGGGTCACCTGCTGTTCTGCAACTATTAAGTGCAGGCTGCTGCTACTATGCAGCTCTGGGGCTAATCTGTCTACGGGATGTACCCGGATCACAAAAGTCTGTGGTCCAGAGCGGTTGGGTGGGTCATTGTCATCCTGCACTCTAAAGACAAACTGGTCCAACACAACCCCAGGGCCAGGGCTGTGAGGCCCAAAGTGGTGGTAATAGAGACGCCCTTCCACAATGTCCTGCTGCAGCCACTCTCTCACTGGCTTTTCATAGATTACGGAGCTCCCAACTAAACCCGGCACCCTCCTCCAAGAAAAGCCCTCATCTTCTTCCTCCTCTTCCCAGCCAGGAGGTGGCTGTGCTTGACGGAGGAGCAGCTGCCCAGCAATGGGGCCAGACTCCACTGTGAAGAGCAGGATGGCATCCTGCGAGTCAATGTCAGTGGCGCTAAGAGCACGGGTGGTGATGGGCACTGTTTCACCCTCAGCCATGGCCAGCCCCGTGTTAGCATTGAGTAGGGGCGGCTGGTCATCAGTGGGCACCAGGGTAATGGGGAAAAGGAACTCAACACGGTGGCGAGAGCCACCATCTTCCAACCGCAGCACCAGGTTGTCACTGAGTGGAGACTCACTGCCGTCATGCTGGTATATGACCCGACCTGCTGCCAGCTCAGCCACCGTGAAGTGTTTACGAGGGGCAGCAGGTGCTGGGGTGTCCTCCAGCAAAGTGAGGTGGCCATGCCTCAGCCCTGCCACCACACTCACCCGCACCTGCTCAAGGTCATCCTCATCACTTATCACCAGGTTGGGGCTGGGACCGGGGCCTGAGAGAGGCCGCGACTGCCCCTCATAGAGCACGAGGCCAGTGTTGCGGGTCACCACAGGTGCCAGGGTGTTCATGGGCTTCACCACAATGACGAAGGCGAAGGGCTCTGAGGCAGCACCCTCTGGGTCCAACACCTCCAGCTCGAGCTCAAAGAGCCGCTCCCGATCTGAGTCTTCCATGGGCGGCTGGTAAGCGATGCGCAGCTCCCTCACGTCCCGCTGGCTGAAGGAGGAGACAGGCAAGCTCCGGTCATCTGTGCTGACCATGTGCCCCTGGCCGGGGCCAAAGGGTGAGGTGATGTTGAAGAGCAGCAGATCTGGTGGTGACTCTGCATCCTCGGCTGCAAGCATGTCAGGCGTGAGGGCGGTGAGGACAAACTGGTCCACCTCCATCATCAGCATGGCCAAGAAGCTGGGTTTGGGGGCCACATTCTCAGTCCCGGCCCGGATCCGCACCAGCATCTGGAAGTACTCGCGCTTCAGCAGTGCTCCA